ATATTACCGCTTTCATGTCATTAATCCATGAGCAAAGGTCGCGATAATCGGCAAGAAATCTGAAAATTTAGAAAAAAAGTGCATGAAATTAATGCCTGCTACTGCGGAAATTACATTTTTCACGAAAAATACACATTCATATTCTTTTTTTTTCTATCACATATTTATATAACTATCAGATTTTCCTGAAACTAACTGATGGCAGTTTGGAACTTCCAACCGACTAGACGACTTACTCCATAGACCTACTCAAAAAAATAAATATATAGCAACGCGCACCAGACTAGCCGGTGCGATCATGCGTTTTGTGCAGTACAGCCCATCGAGCGATTGTCTATTAATGATTTTCAATGTTTTGTACTTTTGTCTATGCAAAAATAGTTCAAAAATTGGAAAACAGTTAAAAATCTCATGCACCAGCGCATGAAAGCTGAATTCGAAACCTTGAAAGGTGAATATCTTTATCCTGAGTTAATAGTTTACCCAGCCAAAATTTTCACAAGGCCGTAGGTGATACTCAAGAGCACGGGAACGCTGAATTTGAATGAGCAAGGTTGAGTGTGAGCAGGGAGTCATTGCTCTAAAATTTCAGCCTCCTAGACTCCGTAGTTCCCGAGATATTATTTAATCGCAAAAAACTTTCACGGGGCTATACGTGTTACCCGCGGAAGCTGAATCTAAATTTGCGGGGTCGCACGTGGGTGGGGAACGTTCCTCCAAATTTTCAGCTTCCTTGTGGTTCCAGTTGAAAGTTGCGGACAAGTTGCTGGGGACACACACAAACACGAACAAAACACACACAGACAACCCCGTGACAATATGCATTTTGTACTGCTGTTACACAGCACAAAACGCACTAAAAAAAAATTATCACTGGCCATATGAGCTCAAAAACATACGTTTACTACCAACAAGACAATACATATATAAGATGCTTCGAATGCCTTATGCGCTGCCAATCTATTGTATCGTACAGCCCAAATGGCTGTGTTTTTCAAGCTCCTCTCCTTCCTTTCTAATATCACGCTTAACAGTAATTATGATTTGTCTTGAAATATATGAAACTGAAAGTTCCTAACACACTTCAGGACAAATTTCAGTTGCTACATCCCAATTAATACCCATCCCCCCACTGCAAAAATGTATCCACCGGGTAATGTAGCTTCGGTTATCAGCTAAATGGGTAATGTAGTTTTGATTATCAGCTAATCAGGTAAAGTAGCTTTGATTATATTTAGATAATCGTGGCCGCCGTCATGCTAAACAATCAGTTGGAAATATTCTCATCGTTCGTATAATCGAAGTTAAATTACCCGGTGATCGAGATGTTGGTAATTCAGGTTCTTGTTTTCCAACTTACACCTTAGTCCTCTTGCAAAGATACATTTCATTTCTATTTAAGGTTAAAAGAAAAATGTAAGAATGATGATGGAAAATATAAGAAATGGTGATAGAAAAGCTAAGGAAGGAAAGATGGGAAAAAGAACTATTAAATTTAGTAAGAAATGTTTCGGTCCATTAAGTCGTATACATTTCTTACCGTTCTAACATCATTATTGTTGGGGATGTGCACCGTTTCGCACATGCATTAGTAGTTTCCGCGAAACCCCTTCATAGCTGTCATGAGAGCAGCAAAACATGTACTACGAATGGTTTTTATAGGAGTTTTCCACAGCCAATACTCTCAGGTGCAGAGATATCCAGTCCATCACAACGCTTTCAAGTTAAGCTTTCCATATTTCATATAAATTTCAATGTTTTCCTGATTTACCTTTACTCCTTTCTTAAGCAATTATTCAATTTCTGATTTACTGAGGATTCTTACAGAAATCATTGCACAGCAAATTTCGGGGGCTTAAGAAAAACTGACCGATGGAGGTTATAAGATCGATCGAGGCCATCTTTACGTGCTTGTGCTTTGCGCTTCAGCGCACCCCACTGCTCCTTCGCTTCATTCATCTTTGCCATAATTGCATCGGCTCGGTCCGGGTGAACTTGCGCAAGTCGTTCCGCT